TTGCAGGTGAGTGACAGTATTCGCGAATATGTGTAAAGTGGTGAGTTGAACGAGCTATAAATTCTGTTATACTGATCTCTCCTCTCTTTGCTCTGATTCCATATTGAGGTCTAATTATATGTACCATCGTCACGAAAAGTAACTGGGACAGCATTATATTAGCTCTTGTACTATTATATGAATTTTATTGTCAAATATTTGTCAAACTATATTTAAATGTATTGAAATGAATGACAGTAAAATTAGTCCAGGAGATTATTATGCATTTTTTTTGTCCCATATAGTTTTGGTGACGATGGTACCGTCGCTTACATAGGAACAATCAATCAAAAAAGACTAACTTTTTTGTACTTTAAGTAAGAAGCATTTACATTCACTTCCAACTTCAAGTTAAATTTGACGTTTGATATATTATCATTTACATTGCAGAACAAAATTCACTTTATTCCACATTGGAAATTGAGAAAAAATTTCAAATCAAAACGTCAGAATTTCATGAGAAATTAAAAATTTGACATTTCATTTCCTCGCCCAAATTTAAAGTGAACTTCAAATATATAATATTTCAATGTAAATGGATGTGTTGCCGCCATATGACAACCACGTCAATTTCAAAACAAATTGAACTTCGAAGTGAATGTAAATGCACCAATATAGTACCAGTACCTAAACTCCAAACAATTTCTGATACACATCATAGCCTCTGAGTAACGTAGAATGGCAGCATCGTTGCCAAATTATAATGGAAGGAAATAAAACTAATGTTGGCAGTTTTGTCGGTTTATTAGTAACTTGAGTTATAATAAAGAAAATTTGAACACCGCAACGTAAAACAAACCAAACAATCAAACAAAATCAGAACTTGCGTTTTTCAAAAACATTAAAAAATCGACAACATGGCTGTTGCCAAACCACAGCTTGTCAAACCCTGTTTAACTTAACAACACTGGTTTTTCTACCATTCCACCACGATGCATTCATCAGCTGAGTTTAGCCACACGCAGCTAGTGAGTTACAAAAACCAATTTGAGAAAATTTTATGAATTCACCAACAGGTCAATTTTTGAAAAAAATTTCCCATTTTTGTATTCGTTACGTTTATGTCTCAAATGTAATTTATCAGGCGATTGATGACGTGCATCGGAAACTGTTTGGCGTTTACTTTAGGGCCGAATTTATAGTCGCTTCTTGAGGTTTCCTGAGACCTTAAGGAAGCCTTGAACTCACGACCTCCAAGGAAGACTTAAGGATCGACTATAAATTCGGCCCTTAGACCTGCTTTAGACCTTATCGACAAAGTAATCCGACTTCTTACCGGCGTGAATGAGGTGAGAGCAAAAATACATTTTACAGCCTTCCCTGCACAAAATAATTCTGGTCTCCAGGGATGACTACCAAGTAAAGTCTCAAGCCCGTAGGGTCCAAAATATACCAGATATAGCCCTTAAACCCGTCTTTCGTACCCGTTAATCGGCCCTTGTGCACAACCTGACAGTACCACACGGGCATATTCAGAGATGACCCCCATATACGAAGTCTCAGCTACCTAAAGCTTTAAATATCAGAGTTGGTCCTTAAATCATTTGTCGTACCTATTAATCAATCCCTGTACCAGATAACTAAAATGTTCGACAATGGAACTTAACAGTGATATGGGTAATCTAGCTAATTACGACTTGACGTTATCGGAGATTACTAGAAGAGAATTGTCCAGACAATTACAGAGGAGTTCCGGGGACGTCAATAGTATTATAGTAGTGAATTGGAAGGATGAGAATTAAGTTGAAATTGATATAATCTACAGAAGAACTATTTCGTCTGAATCTAAATCTGTTTCAGAAATACTTAAACAGAACTAAAATGAAAAAAAAAATCTTACATATCCACAATTTGAAAAAAAAAAAGCAAGAAAAGACAGCTGCGACAAATTATTATGGAAATATTTCTCCAACCAGTACGCTGAGCAGAATCTGTGGAAAAATAATAAGAAACAAAGCTGGAAATGAGTTCAAAAATGCGGGAACAAGCCGGGTTTAGAGCGAGGGGATCGACTGTGGACCATCTTATCGGAAGTAATTATAACACAAGTGCATCAAAATAACCTAACTTTTTTTCATGAAAGCATGTTGTCTCGGAACTTGATGAGTATTTTCATATTTAAACAACATGTGAAAATGGCTGAATGCAGTTTTTTACTGACATAATGCTTGAACTAAAAACTATCCGGTTTATTTCGATGCTATCTGTAAGTTTGGGAGGGTGGTAAGCAACAGCACTTAGGCCACAGTAGGCCTATTATACGCCTCTACACGAGGAGATGTCATCCTACGCTCGTAATCTAGCCTAGCAATCCAACGTAGGCGATGACATCGCTGAGGATGGTGCCTCTGATCTCTTTTAGGGATGGGTATGATTGTCCTATAACAGAGTAATACCTACCTACAATCTCAGTTACAAATAATGTGCTCCATCGTCTCTTCTTCTTGATTACAAGCCTTACACAAGGGTTTGGTGCAAAGATGCAACCTGTATAAATGTTTGTTATTAGGTGTAGCCTTTTCCTGGTCAACGACAGTTTCTGGCTCACTGCAGCTTTATCTGAGTAGCTTATCCGTTCCTTGGAGTTGCAGCCAATCGTATAGTCCTAGCGCTTTTTAAAAGGATGTGGAAGCATTCTTTGATTATATATATCTTTGGCCGCGGAAGAGCTCCATTCCAAAAGGCTCTAGCCTCCTAGCCAAAGCATCGGCAGCCCGATTGGCAATTGCCTTTGCTGTGATCATTTCCCTTGATCCAGCTGACTACCACCATGTTTTTCATCGACGCCAGTGTGAAGGTGAGGTGGATTGTACTAGTTCTGACGTGAGTCGTGGGTGGTCTAGATACAGCTAGTACTGCTTGCAGTCTATGTGGATGTGCAAGATCATGTCAGTGATATTGTCAATGACTATCTGTTCTGCAGCGATGGTTATATGCCAGTAATTTCCGTTGCAAGTGTAATTCGGTAAAATATTTTTCGATTAGAAGAAATGGAAGTACCTTAATCACAATTTTTTATTTAAAAAACATTAAATTAAAATAACATCTATAAAATAGTGATTAATAAATAATAAAGGCCAATTATAAAAACCAAATGTGTGCAAAACAGTAATTTTATTTACGAATAATGTATAATGTGCGTATTATATTTGTGATTTTGGCAGTATAATGACATATGTTATTCCTCCAGGGATTAATGACGAGTAGCGGGATTAATGGTCATTATTCCACAAAAGTGTCAGTGTCAAACGTGTAGTGCTTGTGGATTTGTATTGGAAATTATGAGACGGATGAAATTTGTTCATTGAAAATCTCAAATAAATTAATTTGTCTTAAATAAAGTAGAGTATACTACTCGCAATAATGGCTATTATTCCCTCGGAATGTTACTCCCTCGCCGCTAACGCGGCTCAGTTCGTAATAATCCTCGGGAATAATAGCTATCATTATTGACTCGTGGTATCGGGTCTTCAAAAAAAAACCAATCAAAGATTGCTTTGGTTACGAAAACGTACGACGCATTATTGTTTGTTTATTGTTCAGGATTTTTGACATGACACTTTGACATTAAATTTCATTGACTGACATTGTCAAAATTAAAGAAAAATATTGCTAAGACCTACGTTCAAAAAACCATATCAATCTTTGATTGGTTTTTTTTTTGAAGACCCGATATAATCTACTATTATATTCGAGTTGCTGACATTATTTTTTCTAATATGTTTAAGTAGCAATGATAATTTACACAAACTAATTCATTTATTTTCTTTTCATTTTTAAAAATTTTCGATTCTCACCATAATAATAAGTGACTCGGTGGCGGATTTTTTTGTCTCTGCACCAAAAATTGCGGATTTGTCAATCAATATGAGTGAAAATTGTGACAAAGATCTAGATCTTCTGGAAGGAATAATGGAATCTGCGAAAGAGACGTAAGGTATCCCCCCTCATACAACTTTTAAAGTTAGCGTATGAGTCGGAGTAAAGACGAAAGACTACACAAAAGGGAGACGCGCATCTGTAGTGACGTCACAAGGGTATTAGCGCTTGACAATAATAGGCAATCCTTTTTGCTTATAGTTCTTGGTTTGTGTCAATCGTTTGTCGGCTGTCTGTCAAGTATCGTCACAAACCAAATATGTATATGGCTGTCTTTCTCCTTCTCTCTACGTTATGTCTTTCTTCTCTCTCGTGTAACGAAATTTGCCAAAACGTAACGCTTCCTTATGCTGCAAACAGACAATTTCTAAGCCTGAAACAGAAACTCGAGAAAAACCCTAAACTTAAACAGCAATATCACGAATTTTCAAATGATTACCTTCAACTTGGACACATGTCAATTTCTCCTATGCAAAAGACTCTGGTTTTTTTCTTCCCCACCACTGTATAATTAGAGACAACTCCACAACTACAAAATTACGCGTTGTTTTCAATAGAAGATGGAATGTCACCCAGTTTATCAGGTCTTCTACTTAACGATTTAATGCTTGCTACCTGGTTCTACGATTCAAAACTGCCTTTTAAATATTTCACTTCGTTTCAGAACACATAATGTCGTTCTAGGTGGTGATATCGCTAAAATGCATCAAGTGCTTGTACGTGAGGATCAATGTAACTTACAAATTTTTTAATGGAGTTTCGATCCCCAAAGATGTTTTACTTGCCTATACGTTAAATACTGTCACTCATGGTCTAGTTTTATCTTCATTTTTAGCCATCCGTGCATTACATGAGGTTGCTTACTTGAACAAGGATACACAACCTAAACTTTCCTCTATAATGCTTCAAGATTTCTATGTGGATGACCTATTGACGAGGGCAAATACGTTTGAAGAAGTCAAACAAATAAAGTTTCAGGTTTCCAAATTATATTAAACTCTTATGGTTTTTCTCTTAGAAAGTAGAAATCCAATGACAAATCCATAATCAGTTCCGATTTAAATAAAAAACCCGGATTTATCCGCACATCAGTGTTAATTTTTCCTCTCACGACGCGCTACATTTACACGTCACTGGCAACAGCGCAATCAAAGCTTTAAGTCAACTTCCACGAGAACAGTCCTTCGTGCTTTGTTGATGAAATCTTCTTAAATTTGATTAGTAGAAGATGCATTCAAAGACGGAACATTGTTTAATATTAATTTTTGAGCAATTAGTAATACCTTCTAGGAAACGATTACAAAAGTTATGCAATCTTCAACAGATATAATTTAGGCCATTTATAAATGTCATTTTCAGTTTGCAACCGGTTTGTCTGAGCGGAAGATTAAAATTAACTGTTTATTAACAGATTTAGCAATACCTCGTCAAATACAAATTTTAAAAGTTATGCAAAATATACACGACATAATGATAGTCCAATAAGTTGCTATATGTCAATTTGCACACATTTTAAAGAAACGGAAACTGACACAATTCTACGACGTTTTCCGTTTTCCTTTTTGGCAGGAAAATTAAATTAGATGCTCCATGTGGAGATGAAAAAGCAGACAAAACATATATATAGAAGTAAAAATATAAATACATAAAATGTTACAACTTATGTATACGCAATTTCACTCCATTTAGGGGACAAGTATTTATCACTTGACAATCAAAAACGATTGGTCTTTCTGTTTCATTACAGGGCTCAAATCTAAATTTGCTTAACACCTCGACTAGGGCAATTTTAACGACTATTAGAGCAAATCTTTCACCTAAAAATTAATTTTATTTAAATTACGCTAAACAAAATTTCATTTAAATCGACATTTACCCACACATCTTCTCTGACCAATTCCAAAAGGAAAATACACTCCAGCACTTTCGAATTCTTTAGTTCCATTTTTAAATCTTCCAGGATCAAACTTCAATGGATCAGGATAAAATTTTGGATCAGTGTGTATGGCAGATATAGAGATCATAATAGGGGTTCCCTGTTCAATTTTTAAACCAGTTTCTTTTATGTCATAGTCTTTGTTGCAACTTCTGTTCACAAAATCACCCAGAGGATAAACCCTTAGGATTTCTAAAAATAATAATAAGGTAGCCGTCTTTTGAGAGATTTCGAGCCTCTATGGCTATCCTTATTGAGTAACATGCGCAGTATAAAAATATTCATTTCTAACTTTATAACCGGTAATGGCCCTTTACAGAGGAATATGCGCTAAATCTAATATTCTACTATTTCATAAAACATTAAAAAAATATCTATTTTCAAATAGTGAATATTTGTGTGCCAAAAACAATTAACAATTTTTAAATTTTTTTTGTTCGGCATGATTCAACTTAACCAAAATTGATCTGTTATTGTTATGCGTGTTTTTATTTAAGGATATGCTTCAATGAGTGTCAACGCTGTGAGCTCTCTTTTTTAGAAGTTCAAGGTGCGTACATTCCGTACAGAGATGCAACAGAACACCGTAGCAATAAGGTTAACTTGGGTTAGTTTATATCAACAGAACATCCCCGCGCAACATCAGCGCCAAACATTTAGGCGTCCCAGCTTTTTTGTTGCTACTTGTATTTTGAACAAGATGGAAATTGCGGTTTTAGCATATATAGTTATGCACAGTGCACAAAAGAAGAAAACGCAAACCAAGACGCTGGTGGCAGATTTAATTATTTAACAGTAGACATGTGTACAGTGGTCGTCATTTATTAAGAGACCTAAACTGTTAGTCTGTGAGTGGTCTATACAAAAATTTCACAAGAATAACGCCAACTGAACGACGTTACGGATCGGACACAGAACAGCCAAATTATATTGCAACATCGCCGCGAACATTTTTTTTTATGCGATGACGAAAGACCGACAACCGGTGGGACGCTGCGATGTTGCGGCGTTACGCTGTTACTGTTCTGTTACGATGTTGCAGTGTGAAGTTCAGACTTTCCGTTTCGCGCTGATGTTCTGTTGCACCAAACTAACCTAAGCTAACCTTATCGCATCGTAACTACGTCGCGTAACAGAACATGTTGCGTACTTGATACGCGGTGAAATTATGTTACGGTGTCTGTGCGTACCTTTGAAGATGTCTTTAGTTTTGTTCATAATACTCCAATGGTTCAATACAACAGGAAACCGTACAATTTACTGTCACGATTCTGCGCGAATACGAAATTTTTAGAAAATTCGGTTTCACGGGATGTTTTTTGACGTGTTTGAACAGACAACATAACAACAACGACCAAAATTTTCGCCATAGCTCATAATTCCTCTCTCTACCTACCTACCTGCAACAAGCATATTTAGATATTTCATATTCATGATACTTTCATATATTCTATCGAAATTTTTGTCAGTTATGAATTCAAAAATTTCTTCTCTAAGTTTTTCTTGAAATTCTTGGTTAAAGCTTAGCTCATATAAACTAAGAGCAAAAAATGAAGAGGTAGGTATGAAAGCTGCTAGAGCTAAAGTTGCCGATTGAGCTACTAACCAATTTTCGTCTAAAAATTAAATAAAATACATAAATAATTTCATATTACCGTTATTAGTTACTTACCAAAGAAGTCCTTTGTTTTCTGATTAATGTTATTACTAGTTTTCGCAAGCGTATCAATTACTCTAGTTCCTCGTATATCTCTAGTATCATAATAGCTTTTTATAACGTCTTCAACAATTGTTTTAATAAAATCGTCGTGTAAAATAGAAATTTTCAAAACTCCAACAAGCTTTGGCGCAAATCCATAAACGAAAAATGCTACTCCTTGGTACCATCCCTTGCCAAACACATTTTTCAGAGCTCCTTTTATTATATTATCATTTGTATTATATTCACATTTGCTATCTATTCCAAGAAATATATGAGGCAGCACATTAGTCACAAAATTTTCGGCAGTTTCTTGTACATCAATAATTTGATTGTCATATCCTTCCAAAAAACTATTCATTTTTTCACAGTGCGATAGAATCATGGGTACCATAGCTTTAAATTTTGCTGGCGAAAACAGAGTGTTGAGTTTGTGTCTGGAATCTCTCCAACCAGGATTTTTAGCAACAAAAACAGATTTCGCCAACGGATTCACTTTTTCATCACAGAAAAAACTTCTATCTTGAAAATATTGATGATCTTTACATATTTTTTTTATTACGTTTGGACATCTAATGAAAAGATAAGGCTTGCCCAATATATAAAATCCAAAATATGGATCCTCTGGGTGTGATTGATATAGTTTCATCAAAAATCTTCCAAAATGTAGTTTTCCCGAGAAAACACTGTAAGTATTGTTGGCTAGAATGAAATTGCTCTCTATAGGAACGTTACGTTTTTCCCAGTATTTGTAATATTTTTTTATGTATAAAATGAATACTAAAGTGCAAGCTGTTAGAGCTAGATATAGAGGCACTAAAGTAGCCGACATTATCTGAAATTAAAAAAAAAATGTCAGGAATTGATCATCGTGCAATATTTTATATAATTTGTATACATTTTGAGCTAATCAACATCGATATTTTTCACTTTACTGTTCTGCAGATACTATATTACGTCATCAATTTTATACCGGCAAATGGCACATTACGTCACTATTCCGGTAATGTAAGATTACTGGTTAACTGTCAAATTCAAGGTGATGGAAGTTGGATTAACTAAGAATCAGCTATTTCCTGGACTAGTGTCGAGTGACAGAGGTTGACGTTCTATATAAGGAATAGAAACAATCTATTTAACCACAAAATCTAACCGGTACGAAATTATTATGGAACAATAGGTATATTGTACGATACACATTCGTGAAGCTATATTGCCTCGACCATAAACAGCACTCGTAATGTTTAGGTTTTTTAGTTCGGCAATGTTACTTTACCGGACTAGTGTTAAAAGTGCTATTATATATCCTATTCACAATCCGTAGTCCAAAGGTAAAGGTAAATTTATCACTTTTCCATATCAAATAGCACTAAAAGGTGATACATTTTACCTTTACCTTTGGACATAGGATTGTGAATAAATAATATGTAGAACAGTATCGAATAAAGTTAATTACTATATCATAGGTATGAGACTTCAGACTTCAAGTTTTATTAAGATCATGCACGGACAGAGGAATTATCAGAATTGAATTTGTAACACACTGGAATCAGAATGTACTAGAGAAAGGAAGGAAAAGCATCACAAAAGATAGTCATTGGATACTCGATACACTGAGGGTCACTTTGAAAGTAATAGTAGGAGAGAAAATAAAGTACGGGACGAAGGGAAAATGATTAACGAAAAGCTGATATCAGTAACTGGTAAAAGAAGATGATGAGGAATAGGGAATAAGTTTCATCAGAGTGATTAAGCTGCAGTTTAGTGAAACATTGCCACTCTTTTTCGCTGATTAGAAAGTTTAGAGAAAAAAAAAATAAATAAATAAGTAAAAAAAAATAAAAATAAAAATAAAAATAAAAATAAAAAAAATAAAATAAAAAAATAAAAATGAATGAATGAAGAACTTGAGATTGTAGGATTGAAGGTCGAAGTGCGTGCAAATTATGCCCTAGCTCAGAATTAAATAATTCGGAGAGTAGGGGTGGGTTTTAGTTTTGGGCGCCACCGACTCTGGACAGAGGAGTCGGACTCTCCAGGATGTTGTCTGGCTTCAGGTCCTTACAATTCAAATAATAATAAAGAAAAAGAAATATATTTAAGAAAAGCTAATACTAGGCTGTGTGCATAAAACCAAATAAAAGACAATGAATTAAGTGCTATAGTCAGTTTATTTACCAAATGGCTACCGTCCACAATGTAACGATATGGGCATTGACAATAAAAAAAAATTAATAATAATCAAGTAAATTGGCAATAATACCAAAGTGTGAAAACTATTTACTATTCAATGAAATACCGTAGTGATCACTGTGGTGTACAAAATAGGGACGGAATGTAAATAAACAATAAAATATAGATAGATAGGTTATTTAAAGCTAGTACGATACATGTTCCAGGTGATAGTAGATACAATCAACCAGATTAGTCCTGGCTACTGATTGTGGTTAAGATGGTCCAACCATTCTTAATGTTCAGAATTTACAGTCCAGAAGGCTGGTGTAACCGTCCAACTACTTAGATTAGAATCTAGCCGTCACAGCCGGAGCAAACCCGATAATAGCCGAACAGCCAACTCTGGTACATAAAAAATCGAGAACAAGAATTTAATTGTTATTTTTATCGTTTCTTTAACCATTCCCTTTTTTATCAAAACAAAATTACAAGTCCATTTTACAAGATAATAATTATTTGTAAAAATATAACATTTTTTGTAGTTTGGATTTAGGATAGTAGTATAGAAAAAAAAACAAACAAAAGTAAAAGTCCTTTTTTTAGTTTATTTTTGTCCTGTTTTTTATTATTTCTAGAGAGGACAGAGGTATCAGCCGGCGTATCGCGTCCAAATATTTCAGATGATCCAGAAAAAAACTGCAGAAGAAATTCGCTTCAATCTTAATGAACGTTATTAATGTGGAAAGTTATATAGGGTGGTAGAACAGGCATTATTGCCTATAAACCCAGTATTGACCACTTTAAAATGAAAACAAAATGAACTACTCCGCTTACTTACAAATGAGCGAGAAAAGTACCAATTACTCCACAGAGAAACAACAAAGAAAAAATGCAATAATCCGCATCTAATCTTCTGAAAGAGAAGAAACTACTTCATTCATTTTGCAGATTTGTTCTTGTGTTCCTCTTGATTTCCAATTTAACGAGTTCTTAATAAATATCACCTTTTTTTTTTTCTTTTGAGCAGCGTATTACATTACCGAATATACACCTCTTGGAATTCAATGCGCTCGGCTTGGCTTTCGGCTACAATCGTAGTTGCTCCACATATGATGGCTAGACTGTCTGATAGCCTAATAGTCCAATCTCGGTTACGATTGAACGTGTATTGTTGTAACTGTGAGTAAAAAAATCTCGGTGGTAAAAACCCTGTTGGAAATAGGGATTGTTTGCCTCGAAAATACTCTGGAAATCTGGATCGAGGTCTATTCAAAATCCTGGAGTGAGTGAGCGATTCTTTCCTCTACTCATTAGGGCGAGTGGCCGTTTTCAAATCCGATAACATCGGCGAAAATTATAGCATTTTACGAAAATAAAACACAACGCAAAAAAACTCAGTGTGCCATAAATTTAATGAAGAAGAAAACCAGGTCCAAAATCCCTTTTTAATCTGTGGTGCCACACATCAAATCAATTAGCTGACCTAAAGGTAGAAATTCAGAGATGATTCAGGATAACGACAAATGTCAAAAATTAATCGATAGAACTCTTACTTACCAAAAACTACACACAACAATACAATCCGAGAAAAATGACAACGGCTGACGAATAATGATAATAACAACAAATAGTTATCCAATAAAACAATCCCAACTTGAAGAATACGACATAGAGTAAGTTATCCGTGTTGTGAAACTAAAGGGCTTAACCGGAATCGACGTTCCCAAAACATTACTAATCGACCGCCGGTTGACAAGAATTAATGACACTTCAAAAGTCAAAAAAAAAAAATAGAAAGCAAGGATAGCGCAGAACACATAGCAAATATTATCGAACTAATGATTGACCCGGGTTTCACTAGAACTTGTACCGAGTTCAATAACCGAACAGAATAAGAAAGTACGAACAGAGTAGTTCGGTGGTACATACACTTTGAAAACGGATTATTATGATTTGGGGGACATAACCCCAAAAGAAATTATTTGACAAATGAATATTTATTTGTTTATTATGAAAATCAGATGGGAAATGGAATTTAAAATATTGATTTGTTTTGATTTTGAAATTGAATTAAAATATGGATTAAAATCGAGGAAAAATCATTACAGCACAGGAACTAGTAACAAATGAAAATGGAATTTGACTATTGAAAATTAGAAAATTTACAGGATCCGCAACCGTTGTGATTGTTGTTGAAATTTTATAGAGAGAAAATGTTAACAAATTTAAGGGAATTTTGAATAGAAAACTGAAAGTAGGTAAGAATTAGTTGTGCAATTTTGGCTTGTTACAACATGTATCCGGGGTCACCAGAGTAATACCTAAAATATAGCGAAAATCTATAGTTGAATCATATCCGTGCGGCAGTAATAACATTATAACCTAAATTTTAAATAAACACCATCCTTCCTATTGGTTGAAAAGCCCTACATGGACAAGTCCGCATGCACGGAGGACATTTGATAGGTTGTAATGAAATTGACCAGTTGTGTACGTTACTGCCGTTTGGATTTGATTCAACTATAGTAACAAATAATTATCATTATATTATATATTCTTAATAAACGTGAATAGTTCTTATAAGAACATGTCTTTGATAAGAACACATTCTTCTTATCGCTTTGCATTTAATTAGAACCTAATACAGATGAAATTTTTTTTAAATCACGGTACCTTTTTTGAAAAATTAAAGTCGCATCATTGAATGAGTATGAGAACACTAAGTTTTGCATTGAATTCTTGTAAATAAATATAATTTTGATACCTACCATTAGTATGGCTTTTTTCAACATTTCGCCACTTTGGTATTTAATTTTCAGTTGAACACAATGATTGATATTGGCACTAATATAATACATAAGCTTTAAATAATATGTATTTATACCAATATTAATTTGTCTAATTTTTTTTTCATACGGGTCGGGACTAAAAACTTAATTAAACTTAAGTGGTTAATTACCTACTATTTTTTGGTGTGAATAACGGAAAATCATACAGTGTGGCCACGGATTGATGCGACAACAGGTATAAACGAAGAATAGGTATTTCTCTTAACAGGGCAAAATATCACCAAAAGAATGTAAAACTATTCCCCTAAGCAGATAAGTATGGCCAATCTTCCCAAAATTTCGCACAGATTCATTATTAATATAGTTTTTACTTCTAAACAACTCATTTTATTTATATTTAGGAGAATTAGAACGTACGAACGAACGAAAAAATAAAATAAATGTGACATTATCAAAAAAGTTCATTAGTATACAATACATAAGATCAAACTGATAGTTCGACTACTGGAGAACTTCAAGCTATGTTGAGTTTCTACGAGTACCTGGGACATATTAGAACAGACAAGTTTTAAATTTCGTTCCAATAATTCAATATTGATGTCTGCTCCATTTAAGACGCAAACCAGAAATATCTATTTGTTTCACATGCCCTTACTTTTTCCACATGTCTATATACCTACGGTATTGCTATGACTCACTTCTAGAAGCCTTGCGTTTTGAAGACTTTTGTATAGTAGTGAGCATTTAGAATTTTATCGCGAATGTAAAATTATGTAATTTTGTGTTGTTCACTATTCCATACAGAGATTATTGTCGTTTTTTTAACTAAAGTACCTAACCCAAATAAGGCCATGTACCTTATAAGGCCAGTGCCCTCTATTGCTTAATATTGAATCTCATTTTCAAAAATTACAATATTATTTAAAAAGAAATCTATAATGCAAATCAAAAATTATTGCGAGGGGTTATATGTCGAAAAATGGCCAACTACATATTTCATATGTCACGTTATAACTTTGAGGCTGGAACTTAATTAGTTTATACACATGTTCATGAAGTGAATAGAGCGAATGTAATTTTTACACGGACATTTATGTATTGAGAAAGCTACAGAGTACAGAATAATATCTTTGCTAGATTTCTAGCTACACACTTTTTTTTACAATGTAACATGTCCCTAATAAGGCCATATGAAAAATGTTCAATTGGCCTCACATCATAGTGTTTTTTTAAAGAATGTGTCATATTATTACCTAAGTGATGTGTTTTAGAACGCCTGGAGTGTAACCAAGCAAGAGAAGCTGCGGTTGATTGGTCCTAGTTGTATGAAGACCTATTTGGATCACCATCCCAGGACTTGAAATTATTGTTTTTTTCTGGAATGCAGCAAGGTTTTAAGTTCTATTTTGTGTACTGTTTCTGAAAAAATAATATTTTCACAAATAATTGTATTTATTTTCAACATTTTTTATTGGTGGCCTTATTAGGAGCCTAGTGATCCAAATAAGGCCAATGGTAAGCGTCTTTGTTTTACACAAAAACCACCACTTATATAAAAAAAATAACAATTTGGTATTAATATTCAAGTAATAGAAGCGAAACCCTTCACATATAAGCTCGTGATTTTTGTTGGGATTGGTGGATAATCAGGCCTATGATGTATCATTTTCTGTTTTTTCAACAGCAACGTTAAGTTATCTGTCACTGTTTATTCTATACGTCGAAATGGAGAGAGAAATAGATGTTGAGCTTTAACACAGCCGTTAAAATAACTGTACATCATAGGTCTAAATGCGATGAAAAAAATAAAACTTCTTAACATGGCCTTATTTGGAACAGATACCTTACTGCAACACTGCAAGAATAATTTTTAAGATTATATTTTTTTGTTCCAGGTGAGTGACAGTACCTATGAGCAAAGATGTGTTGACTGGTGAGTTTAATAAATCAGCACTGACTACAATTAACGTTTAGCTCTTCTGGGTTATCTTATCTTCATAGTGATTGGTTACATAAAAACTTTGAGCGTGTATCTTTGGGAGGCATTACTTGTTGTGCAACTCACCGGCTGGGGAGTATGTTCTTAGTTATTCTTATTCTCGCAAGATGCCTGATGCACAAGAAAGACTTTTCCATTATTCACACCTCTTCATTGGTCAATAGCAGAAATTCTTTTACCATCAATCTCCCTATTCCAACGTCTGCATTAACTAAAAGTTCACTTATATATCAAAGTAAGATATTATTTCATTATCCACCTCTTGCAATAAGAAAAATAAAAGAATATATGGTTTTCAAGCGCAAGATGAAGAGCTTGCTGGTTGCAAGTGTTTTTTACAGTGTAGAGCCTGGTAGCGGAGTATTTCCTAGCTAGGTACTTTGTCTTAACCCGTAACTGGTGAGGTCATTTTTTTGTTACATAACTGGTGAGGTGGGGTTTGCTAAACCCCAAATGGAAAAGGCGATTCTGCTAATTCAAAATTGGGTAACACTTGTCCTTTTGGAATGCGTAGGTACATATTTTCAACAAACAAAAAACAAATATTTTAGGAATAATTCAATTTTACTGTGGGACTGCACAAAACACACATCAAAACTTATTTCTAATTGCTGGAAGTAATCAAACTGAAAATGTAGCATAAAAAATACAAAATGTTGCAAAAGTGTATAAAAATCTTTGAAAAATATTCAAGGAACAAAGTTTTAGCAAAATTGTATTTCAAGTAAACTTTTTGGAGAGCAATTAACCCAAACTAACCCAAACGACTCACAGTGAGGTGGGGTTACGCAAACACCAATTTGTAAAAAAATCGTAATATCATACATCAAGTAAAATATCGCGCGTTATTGACACCATTAGTGTACTGACGGACAAAGGACCGAAAGCTACACAGGAGGTAGCGGGCCTCCAACCATTAGTTAATACGTGGTAAAGATTCTTAAAATCTGTGGGGTTTGAGAAACCGCATATCACTAGTTACGGGTTAAGTTTATTTTTCGTTTAATGTTTATCCTTCTTAGCCACACAGAAATATCATGGACATTGACACAATCTAATGATGCGTTGGGCCACCGACGACGGACGCCTTGATTTTTAAATCTTAATTTTCTGTTATAAAAATATTATTTCTTGGTAAATTTTACCCATAAAAATAACTAATCAAACCGACACCCAAGCACATTAGTTCAAAAAGAAAATCTAGCCACCCTGAGTTTGCCCCAATAAAAAAAGTTCAATCATCCCTGATGACAAAATCGATAACGACGGGAAATTTCTATTCCACGACGCTGCTGGCTGCTCCAAATTTCTCTAAGAAAAAGGGTAAAGATTGCAGATTTCAAGCTTTTATAAGGTGCTCTTCAAAATATAGGATATTGGAAGGTTAGTGGACTTTCGTCCCTTTTTTTATTTGAATATGCAAAATCATTTCATAAATACCTAACATAGGTACAAAATTTATTTTACTTATCACTTAGAGCCCTATGGCTTTATTCGAAAACGTCTAGGCTGGTTGTTTCTTTGTATCTACCATATTATATTACAATCATTTTAGCATGCTTGCTTAGGTATACGGACTATATTTAAAAGACAACGTTTTAAAAGTAATTACCAAAATATACGCAGGTTTTTTGTTTGACTACAGTTTTAGAAGCAAAAGACAGTTTCAATGGAAGATATGATAACAAGGAAATTGAACAAACAAAAAAAAACATACTTGATTGCGTCTTTATTTCCCCATTTGGTCCACCCTGTATTTTTAATGGTTTCGAAATTTTCCATGTAGGTACCTACTTCAAGTTATTTCGGACACCCTGTATATCAAAATTAGGTAAATTCCGATTTGACAAATCAAAATTAGTGTAATTTCGATTTCAGTTCTTGCAATTATCTAGTATATTCGAGTTGATAACGATAACGCAAATCTAGTATCTATAATTCATGTCAAAAATCCTGACCAATGAAGAAACAACAATTCTACGTACGTTTTCGTAATCAAAGCAATCTTTGATTGTTTTTTTTTCTTGAAGTCCCGTTATTATTCAATAATGGTATCAGATTGGTGGCCTGCCTCAGCATATCTTAGAGAACACCGTTAAACCCCCTGAAGAATATGTCGATGAATATCTTAAGAAAATTGCATTAATTGAAATTATTAAGGCTCCAATGTATTGGTGTTTATAAGGTTCTGTAGAATATGGCCATCCAAATTGTTCAAGTATCGGGTCTTCAAAAAAAAAAACCAATCAAAGATTGCTATGGTTTTTTGAACGTATGTCTTAGCAATATTTGTCTTTAATTTTGTCAATGAAATTTAATGTCAAAATGTCCTGTCAAAAATCCTGACTAATAAAGAAACAGTAATGCGACGTACGTTTTCGTAGTCAGAGCAATCTTTGATTGTTTTTTTTTTGAAGACCCGATATAATATGCGCCTATAGTTCCTCAGACGATATCGAAATAGAACAACTACGAATCTAAGATGGTCATAGAGAATTCCCGATTCTCAGAGCAAAGACGAGATTGATTATATCACAAGCAACAAAAGATACATTATAACAGATATCCCTACGCTGAATAAGTACCTACAAACTACTTGTTAGAAACAGAAGAGAAACAAAATAGTATACTCAACATGAACTGCTCAGGTGACATGGTCTTGTTTAGTAGTGACTCGGCAGAAATGGAATAAAGGAAATGATCTCACAGTTAAGCTTGGAAAAAGTGGGCTTAACAATGGACGCAGCAAAGACCAAGATTTTAACCAACAACGTATAATAATTATAGGGGACCGAAGGATTGATGAACGAATATATATACCTTGGATTTGACAATCTCAGCAGCGGAAGAACCCAGAAGTTCATAACGCTTCTGCTTGAAGTATGTTTCTAAGACCACGTACGTGCTGAAGAAATACTCCGCCAAACTAAGGTGGAAGACGTCATACACAATGGAGACAAAATTCGATAAAAGCAGCGTAGGGCGACCTTCCAAACGATGGATCAGGCAGCAAAGAGGCAGTAGGCATGAACTGGTATCGAGAGGT